GGCAGCCCACCCCCCTCAACCCGAACCATCAAACCTGGCAAGCCCTATAACCAAAAGATTCTCATAGGAAATAAAAGACCAGGCATAAAATTTCAAACAAAACACCACATACAGAATCAAGGGACTAGAAAAAACAGGAGTTCTTTGTTCTTATTACTTTCTCCAGCACTACAACACTCACTCATAAAAACTTAGTACCTTAAATGTTGTCTAGAAGTATCGAAAACCGGCTCCTTTAGTCTAAACAATAACAAATAGCTGAAATTACTGAACCAAAAAGACTCCGAAACAAAAATAGGAATAGGAAAAGGGGCCATATAACAGCCCGGTGTCACCAAGTATATAAGAGACCTAAACGCCCACGAGAACCAAGTCGCACGACCTAAATTTAGTTGTCCCATATATGATCCGCGCGTTTCAAAACCTGCCCGAGTTTTTGCGCAATGGACTACCGCATGTTACAGCAACGAGCGTAAGAAATATATCACGCTAGTTGGCACTCGCGCCGCCGCTTTCAGCTGTGGTGGGTTTGGAAGCGTTCGGCTCTTCCCCGGCGGCAGGGGCGGTGCTCTCCTTGCTCGGTGTCTGCTTCTGCGCAGTGGAATTCCCATTAGCTGTGTTCTTCTCCTTCTCATCACCGCCCTGGACAATACAACGATAACAAGCCAGCATCAGGACCTATATCAACACCACCTGAACCGGTACTCATGAAATTCTAAATTTGTCAACAACAGAGCACTCTAGTGCATGGACACAACACTTGCCTGCCCCTGAAGCGGTTGTTGCTTTGCTCTCTTTTCTTGCATCAACTTCTGTCGGTTCTCGTAAAATGCAAAGTCATCCAAGATTGAGGTCTTGCTGACATGTTCCTTGAAAATCTTGAGCATTTGAAGACCTTGCTCAAGCTTAACCTGCAGCATAAGGGAGACAGCGAACCAGTGCCTTGAGTAATAAGTTTAGAGGCTAGGCTACTACTGGAAACATCAATCAACTGCCAAGGAACCATTATATAAATACAATGACCACCCCACTGATTCTGGATGTCATTTTGGTCAATTTGTGAATGGATCAAAAAAATATTGCCTACAGTCATCATGGCAGCACCGATTAACCAGAAAAATGTGTATATGCACAAAAATATAACCGATGCCGTGAGAAATATTCTTAAGTTGCTCATATACTGGACTACATCATGAGTTTTAGCAAATCCATGACCATAATGAAGGAACAAATTTCTGAGTTTCACTGTTTTAACTGAGGCCAGCACCTGATAAACCTCATCTAAAATTTGTGTCCTTTAGAAAATAAGCTACATCATCATCATCATTATCTAAAGGAACATACAAAGTATTAACACTAGCCCAAATGGGACATGGCCTCATCATGAAATTACACCCCTAAATAAGTAGAGTTTTCAGAAAGTGTACCTCTTGTGTGTCACGGCTGTTTGTCACAGGCTTATTGTCATTGTTGTCCAACGTAATATGCTTCAGAATGTTGTTGGGGATATCCTTCACGATGTGCCACTTGATTGAAAAGCAGCCATTCCACTTGTCTTGTTGCCAATAATCTACTGTCTTGTCAAAGTCAACAGGACCAACCATTTCGGCAACACCAACAAATTGACCACTTGTGTTCACCTAAAAGGCCAAGCTCAAGGTCAATACAAATGCCAAATGAGGAATGGGTGATATAATACAGCAGCAACATACTTACAGAGAAAAATAAGAACACCGGGCATTCACTGGATTTCTCCTGAGCTTCTCGGTATCCAGCATCCAGCTTCTTATTTCCATTAGGAGTGCTTGCCCACACATTGTACTTGATACTCTTGTGCACATCATCCTCGCTGTAAGATTTGATAACAAAGAACTTTGCATCCTTGTATGTTGCAGAAAAGCCTTCCTGGTTAAATTGACTCTTATCTGGCAGGACGCTATTCTCTTGTTTCCCAGCTGAAGGGAGGACCTGCCCCTTCACAGCAATCGTGACAGTAGGTCCAAATGGTTTTTGGTGTCTGAATCCACCAGATCTTGGTCCTCTGTTAAGCTCAGTGAAGCCATCTTGATTCTCACTGCCAAACCCAAAAGTTGCCCGGTTTCTAGGCTTGTATTTGACGGTATCCACGACTCCCCACTGTCCATTATTTCTCGAGTTATAGACATTAGAACCAAAACCAAGTCCAGCTTTCAGTGTGTTCCCGTACTGACCATACTGACCATACAATCTGCTATCAGGGTACATCCTACTAGAATAACTAGGAGAGGTCAGACCCATCCCAGATGAAGGCCCATGCGTATGCATACCCTGGAAACAGATAGAAAGTACAGCGAAGTTTTGATGAAGGACACTGCAGACTATCATGAAAACTCATGCAAAACTGGTCATTTTGTTACCTCTCTTCGTACGTTAAGGTTAGCAAATACCAAGATATCATATTATAGGATCTAATACTCAAATGATATGCAGAACACTTACAACTAGTCATAGAATGTTGGGATTAATTAAGCAGGTCAACAACTAAGGAAAGCTCTGCAACACAATAACAAAGAAATTGGATATCTTGCAGAACATACCATGAGGTTTGTTGTTGGACGGTGACTCTGATTTTTTGCTGAAGATGAATTAGAACCATAAGATGTGGAACTAGCAATTGATCTCTGATGCCCATTAGAATAGACCGGCCCATCATACCACTGAGCTGGAGAACGGTGACCAGTGTGACCAAAATTGCTAGCGGAAGGTCCACCTTGCGAGGGCCCTCTTCCATATGAACCACTGTTGGTCACTGATACATGGTGGTGAGTTTGCTTGCGCGGTAGTGAACTGGCAGCATTTGCAATCCCAGTAGCAGTCCCGGTAGTTACTTTTGCTGAAACTACCGTAGCACGTGTCTGGTGAGCCGCAGCGGAAGGCAGCTCAGATTGAGGATTGGCACTGTTAATACCATGCATCGCATTGGTTGGAGCCGGCTGTTGATAATACTGACCAGGGTACTGATATTGCTGTGTGCCATATGACTGCCCGTCATGCCCAACGGTTGGGACAGGAGAACCTGAAGGATACGGGCCATAGGGAGCATAACCATATCCATGGTACATGTCACCATACACACTCTGCTTCATTGATGCAACAGAAATATTAGTCAATTTCATAACTTACATATCAGAAAACAATTCACCAAATTCCAAATTCATCATCATACATGGGCACAGTTTCATCTTAATGCTTACTCCTAGCTTTCATACGCGGGTAAAAAATGCATAATTTAATAGTGATCTAAACGTTCTTATATTTCTTCACATAGGGAGCAATACATTATTCTTGTTGCCATGGTTTTTAAGGCGGTAAGGCATCCTAAGGCGTTCTACCCCTGCTCTGACGCCAAAGCGCTAAGGCGTCCACCTAAGCGCCTAAAGCAGGCAGATTTCCAAGCCGCTGCCAGAGCGCCTTATCGCCTAACCCAAGGCAGACGCCGTAAAAACCATGCCATTATTCAGACTACATAGTACAATGACTACACACTTGTGACTAACAATGCAAATGTTAGGTTGTTAACTCACCTGGGGCACTTCCATTCCTTCATGACCAGCATACCTGGTGTCCCACTCATTAGTCGAGCCATCATAACCTGATTCGCAGCATACCGAAATGAAACTTGTCAGTGAATGACTCAAAAACATCCAAAAATAGCTGATTCACAATCAATGAATCAAGTCCTAGCCATTGTCTAATAATAGCTGAGGCTCATGTACCGCTAGGGTAGTAGTAGGCTGGTGAGGGATATCCATTTGGCTGGTAGAAAAAGTTGGGATCCATGGCCTCCTGGAGCAGGGGCGTTATCGACCTGTCCACATGCGGCTCCACGGTCTGCGAATTGCCGGTGTTGGCAGACCCGTACTGCATCCCGGAGGGCTACAATTACAAAGGCGGCGGTTTCAGCAACCTATGCAAGAACCACACACGCGCAGCTAGTAGAACAGAGCAACGAACAAGGGCGGCCACCGAGTAAAAAAGCTACCTTGGCCGCGTCGGCGCCGGCGGCGTCCTTCTTCCCCTCCAGGGACAGCTTCTGCATGTCCACGTGAAGCCCCGCGCCCTGCGCATTGCCGGCGTTGGCAGATCCGTACACCATCCCGGAAGGCTGCAAATTACCACAAGCAGCGGGTTTTTTCAGCAAACGCCCGTCCCCTCCTCAAATAAGCACGCAAATAGAACCAGAAACGACTAGTACTACTAGAACACAGGAACAGACGAGGGCCGCCGCCTAGAGAAAAGAAAAAAGAAACGGCTAGACGGCGCGCCGGGCGGGCACGGCGGCACGCCCACAATTTGCGCCGTCGGTTCACCGGTCTGGGCTCAAAGTAATCGCCGCGGAGCTCGTACCTCGAGGACCGGCGGCCAAGGTCGAGGGCGGGGCGGGGGACGCGGCGTCCCGGCGAGGTGGAACGCGAGCGGCGGCGGATTGGAGGTCGGGTGGGCCGGAGCACGGGTGTGGTGGTAGGGGTGGATAAACCCTAGGGGAGGGTGCGGGTGCGGGTGGGGGAGGGGAGGAGGAGAGGGCAACGAGTATAGCCGCCACAGACTCACGCGAGGCGGCGAGGGGGGGTGGGGGGAGGGGAGGGGAGGAGGCCAGACGCAGCCAAAGAGGGGTTTTCGCGAGATTCAGAGGCCCTGGCTGAAGTACCGCTTCCCGGCCCATCCCGCCCGCCGTTCGTTTATCTCCCGGACGTTTCTGCTACGGGCACCCCGGGGAACGGCGCAACCCACCAAAAAGAGTGGGAAAAATAATGATCTTTGTGTAACTTATCATGTCTCTATCCAGCAGGAACGGCTGCGTTCGCTTCAGTTTCTTGATTACTTTTTTCGTGGGTGCATGTAATACTTCCTTTGTGTCAAAATAAATGTCGTTGTTGTATTAAATCAGCGACACTTATTTTGAGACGAAGAAAGTATAATTAATGTGCTTTCACTCTTATTGTTTTACAAACACGGCTTGTGAAGTAGGTAGACTGGTATTAGCGTGGCTCCAACTTTACTATCACACGATCAAATCATCTTATCATCTTATCATGATAGTATGTGGAAAGGTCGAGAAGAGGGGTATATTCACACAAAAAAATCAAGAAGAGGGGTCCAGGGGAGGGGGTAGACACTTAACAAGGCAAAGGTGTAGTTTTTAATTCGCTTGGAATTTAGATAGTAGATTTTAGCACAAGTTAAATGACAACCAATACAATCTACACATGCATATTTATAGCATCTCAAATAGAGGATGCAAAATTGGAGATGTAAAAATTTACATCTCCAAAAAAGTGGCAACTCCAATAGATGATGCAAAATGGAGATGTAAAAGAATAACTCCATCAGATGATGCAAATGAAGATGTGAAATTGTACTTCAACTAGTACTCACGCGACGGAGGGGTGAGGCGGCGCGGGACTGATATGTCTCCAACGTATCTAATTTTTGATTGTTCCATACTATTATATTATCCATCTTGGATATTTTATATGCTATTTTATATGATTTTTGGGACTAACCTATTAACCCAGAGCCCAGTGCCAGTTTCTGTTTTTTCCTTGTTTTTGAGATCGCAGAAAAGGAATATCAAACGTAGTCCAATTGACCTGAAAATTTACGGAGATTATTTTTGGACCAGAAGAAGCCCACGGAGCATCGGAGATGGACCAGAAGAGTCCCGAGGCCACCACGAGGGTGGAGGGCGGGCCCCCTACCTCGTGGCTGCCTCGTGGATCCCCCCCTGACTTGTTCCCGACGCCAACACCTCTTATATATCCCCAAACTTCCAGAACAGAACCTAGATTGGGAGTTCCGCCGCCGCAAGCCTCTGTAGCCACCAAAAAACAATCGGGACCCTGTTCCGACACCCTGCCGGATGGGGAAATCATCACCGGTGGCCATCTTAATCATCTCGGCGCTCTCCATGATGAGGAGGGAGTAGTTCACCCTCCGGCCTGAGGGTATGTACCAGTAGCTATGTGTTTAATCTCTCTCTCTCTCTCGTGTTCTTGATTTGGCACGATCTTGATGTACCGCGACCTTTGCTATTATAGTTGGATCTTATGATGTTTCTCCCCCTCTACCTTCTTGTAATGGATTGAGTTTTCCCTTTGAAGTAATCTTATCGGATTGAGTCTTTAAGGATTTGAGAACACTTGATGTATGTCTTGCATGTGCTTATTTGTGGTAACAATGGGATATTCACGTGATCCACTTGATATATGTTTTGGTGATCAACTTGCGAGTTCTATGACCTTGTGAACTTATGCATAGGGGTTGGCACACGTTTTCGTCTTGACTCTCTGGTAGAAAATTTGGGTCACTCTTTGAAGTTCTTTGTGTTGGTTTGAATAGATGAGTCTAAGATTGTGTGATGCATATCGTGAAGGAAATATGCCCTAGAGGCAATAATAAAGTTATTATTTATTTCCTCATATCATGATAAATGTTTATTATTCATGCTATAATTGTATTAGCCGGAAACATGATACATGTGTGAATACATAGACAAACTTAAAGTCACTAGTATGCCTCTACTTGACTAGCTCATTAATCCAAGATGGTTATGTTTCCTAACCATAGACATGAGTTGTCATTTGATTAACGGGATCACATCATTAGGAGAATGATATGATTGACATGACCCATTCCGTTAGTTTAGCACTTGATCGTTTAGTATGTTTCTATTGCTTTCTTCATGACTTATACATGTTCCTACAACTATGAGATTATGCAACTCCCGTTTACCGAAGGAACACTTTGTGTGCTACCAAACGTCACAACATAACTGGGTGATTATAAAGGAGCTCTACAGGTGTCTCCAAAGGGACATGTTGAGTTGGCGTATTTCAAGATTAGGTTTTGTCACTCCGATTGTCGGAGAGGTATCTCTGGGCCCTCTCGGTAATGCACATCACTATAAGCCTTGCAAGCAATGTAGCTAATGAGTTAGTTACAGAATGATGCATTACGTAACGAGTAAAGAGACTTGCCAATAACGAGATTGAACTAGGTATTGAGATACCGATGATCAAATCTCGGGCAAGTAACATACCGATGACAAAGGGAACAATGTATGTTGTTATGCGGTTTGACCGATAAAGATCTTCGTAGAATATGTAGGAGCCAATATGAGCATCCAGGTTCCGCTGTTGGTTATTGACTGGAAACGGTTCTCGGTCATGCCTACATAGTTCTCGAACCCGTAGGGTCCGCACGCTTAAGGTTTCGATGATAGTTATATTATGAGTTTATGAGTTTTGATGTACCGAAGTTTGTTCGGAGTACCGAATGTGATTACGGACATGACAAGGAGTCTCGAAATGGTCGAGACATGATGATTGATATATTGGAAGCCTATATTTGGATGCCGGAAGTGTTCCGGGTGAAATCAGGATTTTACCGGAGTACCGGGAGGTTAGCGGAACCCCCCAAGGGCTTAATGGGCCTACATGGGCCTTAGTGGAGAAGAGGAGAGGAGGCAAGGGCTGGGCCGCGCGCCCCTCCCCCCGTAGTCCGAATAGGACAAGGAGAAGGGGGCGGCGCCCCCCTTTCCTTCCTCTCTCTTCCTCCTCTCTCCCCCCTTCTCCTACTCCAACAAGGGAGGTGCTACGTCTTGAGCTTGCGTTGGTTTTCCTTGAATAGGAAAGGGTGATGCAGCAGAGTAGCGTAAGTGTTTCCCTCAGTTTTTGAGAACCAAGGTATCAATCCAGTAGGAGGCTCCTCAAAAGTCCCACGCACCTACACAAACAAACCAAGAACTCGCAACCAACGCGATAAAGGGGTTGTCAATCCCTTCACGGCCACTTGCGAAAGTGAGATCTGATAGAGATAGTATGATAAGATAAATATATTTTTGATATTTTATAATATAGATGCAAAAAGTAAAGATGCAAATAAAAGTAGATTGGAAGCAAATATGATAAGAGATAGACCCTGGGGCCATAGGTTTCACTAGAGGCTTCTCTCGAGATAGCATAAGTATTACGGTGTGTGAACAAATTACTGTCGAGCAATTGATGGAAAAGCGAATAATTATGAGATTATCTAGGCATGATCATGTATATAGGCATCACGTCCGCAACAAGTAGACCGACTCCTGCATGCATCTACTACTATTACTCCACACATCGACCGACTCCTGCCTGCATCTAGAGTATTAAGTTCATAAGAACAGAGTAACGCCTTAAGAAAGATGACATGATGTAGAGGGATAAAATCATGCAATATGATATAAACACCATCTTTTTATCCTCGATGGCAACAATACAATACGTGCCTTGCAACCCTTTCTGTCACTGGGTAAGGACACCGCAAGATTGAACCCAAACTAAGCACTTCTCCCATGGCAAGAAAGATCAATCTAGTAGGCCAAACCAAACTGATAATTCGAAGAGACTTGCAAAGATAACTCAATCATACATAAAAGAATTCAGAGAAGATTCAAATATTATTCATAGATAAGCTTGATCATAAACCCACAATTCATTGGATCTCGACAAACACACCGCAAAAAGAGATTACATCGAATAGATCTCCACAAGAGAGGGGGAGAACATTGTATTGAGATCCAAAAAGAGAGAAGAAGCCATCTAGCTAATAACTATGGACCCGAAGGTCTGTGGTAAACTACTCACAACTCATCAGAAGGGCTATGGTGTTGATGTAGAAGCCCTCCGTGGTCGATTCCCCCTCCGGCGGAGCGCCGACGAAGGCTCCAAGATGGGATCTCGCGGATACAGAAGGTTACGGTGGTGGAAATTGTGTTTCGGGTGCTCCCTGGATGTTTTTGGGGTACGTAGGCTTATATAGGAGGAAGAAGTACGTCGGTGGCCGCCCGAGGGGCCCACGAGACAGGGGGCACCCTATAGGGGGGCGGGGGTGCGCCCTCCTATCTCGTGGCCGCCTCGGCTGCTTCTTGACTTGCACTCCAAGTCCTCTGGATCACGTTCTTCCAAAAATCACGCCTCCGAAGGTTTCATTCCGTTTGGACTCTGTTTGATATTCCTTTTCTTCAAAATACTAAAATAGGCAAAAAAAACAGCAATACGGGCTGGGCCCCCGTTAGTAGGTTAGTCCCAAAAATGATATAAATGTATAAAATAAGGCCCA